CATGCTCAGACTATTCCAGTCCCAAGCCACCTTCTCGTTGAACACGACATTGCTCGAGACAAGTACCTTGTCTCCACGTGGGTCGTAGAGCCGGTACGCCTTGGTACCCTCCATGTAGCCCTGGAACACCATCGGTGTGCTCCTGTCCTCCAGCTTGGTGAGGATCGGCTTCGTCTTCCTGATGTGGCCGATGCAGCCGAATGTCCGGAGGAAGGACACACTCGGCTTCCGTCCATACCAAGCCTCGAACGGCGTCTTGCCCTTTAGGGCCTTGGTAGGAGCGCGGTTGAGGATGAACACCGCCGTGGTCACCACCTCTCCCCAGAACCTTGTCGGCATCCTCTTGGCCTTCATCATGGATCGAGCCATGCCGACCACTGTCTGGTTCTGTCGCTCCACCACGCCATTCTGTTGTGGCAAGTACGGCGCGGTGTGGTGTTGTACCACACCCTGATCCACGCAGTACGCAGCGAACTCCACCGAAGTGAATTCGTCGCCCCGATCAGTCCTCGGCGTGTGGAGCTTCTTGCCGCTCTCGGCCTCCGTGCGCATCTTAAACTTCTTAATCACCACCGCCGCTTCGTCCTTGCTTGTCAGGAGTTGCAGCCACATGTAGCGACTGCAATCATCCACAAGCAGGAGAAAGTATCGCCGACCACCGGCCGTAGCTGGTGTGATCAACCTACAGAGATCACCGTGGACAAGCTCAAGAGCATCCCACGTGCGATACTTGGCTGCCTTTGGGAACGGTAGCCTCCTCTTCTTCTCGGCCAGGCAGCTATCACATAGCTCTACTCCGTGCTCGATGTGGGGTAGCCCTCAGACCATCCTTTCCAGCTAACCAAGCGCATTGAAGCTGAGATGTCCGAACCGGGCATGCCACAGCCACGGCTCCTCGGTATGCCTTGTCGCCAGGCACACCGGCTGCTCTACCTTCAGGTCGAGCAGGTACAACTAGTTCTAGGACCTCTTCACCTTGGCGAGAAGTCTCTGCTCCCGATCCTAGATCCTAAGGACTCCGTCCTTGATCAGCACCTCGCTACCACGCTCATCCAGCCGGCCAATGCTAATGATGCTGAAACGCAGCTATGTGATGTAGTATACATCCGTTAGCACACGGTGCTCCCCGTTCTAGCACCTAAAGATGATGGTGCCGCGCCCTCGGATAGCCACCCTTGAGCCATCACCAAACTTCACCGTAGCGGTAACATCGTCGTCGAGCTCAGAGAAGGCTTCCTTGGAGCCCATCATGTGGTTGCTGGCACCGGAGTCCAGATACCACCGCTACTCCTGGTCGGCACCCACACGTCCGAGGTGGACTTGGACGCGTGGTTTATTGAGGTTGACAACCTTTAGGGCCTTCCTAGGTCCTTCGCCCGCCAGCACCTCTTCCTTCTCCTCGGCCTCAACGTCATGTAGTGCATAGAACGTCGCCATCAGGATAGTGGCCTCATCCTCATCATCGGCTTGCGCCTGATGAACTTCAACCTTCTTCTCCTGCTTGCGATTTGGGCACTCCCGTGCCCAATGGCCCATCTTCCTACAGTTTCGGTAGGCATTGGGGTCGACCTGCTTCTTCTTCCTCGAAGAGGCAGCCTTGCCGTCGACGCTTGCCATCGCCACCGCGGCTGGAGGAGGCTACCCCGGAGTTCCTCCAAGCAGCCCACTCCTCCTCTATCAGCAGCAGTTTGCCGCTGTCCTTTGTTGTTGTCGCCTGCTCTAGGCACTCATCCACCGCCCACAGATGGCCTGTCACATCCTCAATGAAGAGGGTGGACAAGTCCAGCATCGTCTCTATGAAGAGAGCGATCTAGATGTACTTTGCCGGTGCGGAGCGGAGGTACTTGGAGACCGCCTCCTCTTCGTCGATGGTGACGTTGTGGCTCCTCAGCTTGCTGATGAGCGTCTACAGGCAGAGGGAGAAGTCCTCCACCAATTCACCATCCTTGAACTTGAGGTTGGCGTACTCCTGCTTCAGAAGTTAGGTCGTTGCCTTCTTTGCACGGTCAAAACCAACGCGCATCGCCGTAATAGCCTCCCACGCCTCCTTAGCAGAGCTCTTTGTCCCCAACGGCTCCCTGTACTCCACCGGTATAGCAGCGAGGATAGCCTCCAACGCTGACATGTCATCTTTCTCATTGTTGGTGCCCTTGTCAACAGCATTCCAGAGCCGTCGGGCTCTGAGCTTGACCTTCATGGTCACCGACTACTCTCCATAGTTGGTGCGAGTCAGCGTCGGCCAACTGGTTCCGCTGACCTCCCGCACCATGCGAACAATGACCTCCTGTCATGGCTAGGCAGCCACAACAGTGCCACTATTGTCGTCCATCTCCGAACCGTTTGACATCACCAGCGGTTAGTCCGACGACAGTGCTTGTACGGCTCTGATACCACTTGTTAGCCCATAGGATCACCGGCTCAGGTGAGTGGACCACTCACCGGTCTTGTCGAGCACCCACTAGCCGTGCTGACCACGAACAAGGGTTGTCCGACCATAACCTATGGCTAGAGGTAGAAGAAGAAGGGAGAACAGAGCATACACACACAGCAGAGACACCAGCGTTGGACGGAGCCATGTGTAGGAGATGGCAAAACTAAACTCTCTTTGTTGAGTTACAGTGGCAAACTATATATACAACTCTATTCATCTAGTCCTAGTACAGCTGTCATGCTGCTACAGTGACTAGATAACACAGCAGGACTGATTTCTGCGCCTGTCCCTGCATGTGACTACAGTGCGGCAGGTGAGCGGTTCAGCGCCTGCCTCTACAGTGCGCTATAGTACCACAGCAGGGGGCGTTTTCGACACCGCCTTCCCCTGCCATGCGTTACAAGGAAGCAGTAGATTATCTAACAGACAATATAGTCAGTATCCTCGGTTGTCAGGTTTAGCCCTTCCCTCTCAAATATTTAGGACTGCCGCTGAGTACCAAACCGATCCCAAAGGCACATTTCCAGGAGGTAGTAGAATACATCGCCCAAACACTGCCACCCTCCCACGGCTCGCTCATGGCTAGAAGTGGACGTCTGGTTTGGGTCAAATCAGTGCTTCGTGCAGTGCCAATCTACGCGATGATGGCCGAAGACTTGTCAACCTGGGCACGCAATGAGATGATGCCATCTGCAGAAAATTCTTCTAGGCAGGCAGCGATGCTTCGGTGAAAAGGAATTGTATGGTGTCCTGGCCGATTGTATGCAGACCAACAACGCTGGGAGGGCTTGGAGTTAGCGACCTCAAATTAACTGGATATGCACTCCAGACCAGATGGTTATGGTTGCAAAAGACTGATGTTGACCGGGCATGGAGTCAGCTACCGATCAAGACCGCGCCTCAGGTTTAGGCGTTCTTCCGGGCGTCCACGTTCATGGAAATTGGAAGATTGCTGGCTCAATGGATCGCCACTGAAAGAAGTGGCTCCATGCCTCTACCAACTGATCCCCAGGCGTACTCGTGCAACCCAAACGGTCAGGCAAGGGCTGACGCAAAGGCAGTGAGTTCGGGGCATCTCGGGCGAAATGTCTGCAGACGCTATCGTCAAATACCTGCACATCTGGGAGGCAACCGACGACGTCCGATTCAACAATCAATATGATAAGCTTATCTGGCGCTGGACTCAAGATGGAGCTTATTCCACTCAGTCTGCCTACAAGATGCTACACGCTGGCTCACTCAAATTCAAAGGCCATCATCTAGTTTGGAAGACATGAGCGCCACTCAAGGTTAAAATTTTCCTCTGGCTGGCCCTTCGGCATCGGCATTGGACTGGGGACAGATGGTTGCGGCATGGGCTCGAGGCAAGGGAGCTGTGCTACCTGTGTGATCAAGAGGTCGAAACCATCGATCATATCATGGCTTCATGCTCCTACTCACGCGAGGTATGGCACTGCATCCTATAGGTGCTGCACAGACCGTTTCCATAGCTCGCCTCAACAACCATCAGCTGGTGGAAGCGTCTTCGAGCAGGATGCACCGAACTGCAGCGGTCCGGCATGGACTCCCTGTTCGCCCTCATTTCTTGGCATGTGTGGAAAGAGCGCAACGCAAGATGCTTTCGCGGGTCTTCGGCTTCGGCGACTGAGCTTATGCAGCTCATCAAGGAAGAAGGGGATTGATGGATTCAGGCCAAAGCGAAAGGCCTTGGAAACCTCGTAGACATGGCAGATCCTCACCCGGCGTCGTGTGTTGTTATGTAACAATGTAGTCCCTATGTTCAGCGCGGCCTTGGGTCGCTTCCTCTTGTAATTTAAACTTGCTTTCTTCTAATACAATGTATTCGAGAAAAAAAAATATTTCTTTGTTGCATTAGTCTCTTTTTTCTGATCTTGCATCTCGCATTGCAGTCGCCTTGTTCTGATGTTGCAGTCGCCTTGTTCTGATGTTGCAGTAGACTTTGTTCTGATGTTGCAAACAAGTAATACTTCTGATGTTTGTATCTTGCATTGCTCCTTGTTTGCTAGGTGATGGAGCACGGTGGGGATGGGGCGCGGAGGGCAACGGGCGTGCAGGGGATGGCGACGCGACGAAGCACGGTGGCGCAGCGGTGGACGGGCCGCACGTGGGGGTGCGCTCGTTTTTAGACGGGGGCGCGCTCGTTCTATTCGCATCGGATCGGATAGGTGGTCCCGTGGGGCGCGGCGGGAGGACGGGATGGCGGCGCGGAGGGAGGACGAGCCGCGCCCGAGCGGGAGGACAGGCCACGCTCTGTCCGTATTGTATCTGAATCGTCGGGATCGAAATGTTATGTGGACTAGGTGCGTCTGCGTCCCGGACTAAAGCCGGGCGGGAAAAAGAAACCGGTTGGGCAGGCGGCGGCACGAATCCAACGCGGGTTCGTAGTAGATAGTAGACTCCAAAAGTCGGATGCTTGCCACAGGCCAACTCGGACTCGCTCCGGTCAGTGCATAAATACGTAGCTGCCAACTCAATGCCCCACCCATTGCCCCGCATCTCTTTCGTCGCCGCCGGCCACTACTACCCCGTGCAGTCGTGCTCCGACGCCATGGACGCCTTCATCAAACGGCCTCTCGTTCGTCAGATTCCACTGCCTGGCTTCGAATCCTGCTCCAGGGGTGGCGCCACGATGCACACCAACCCCTTCAGCTTCGACCTTGATACTGCGACTCCATATTCGACTGCCAGCTCCTGGTCCATCTCCGGTGGCGACATGGGGAGGAGGACACATCCCTTCAGCTTCGGGCACGACATTGCTCGTCCTCCGATCAGGTTGTCCGATCTCTGTGATGATTATTTTCCTCGGCCAGCCCAGTTCGGTCCGTTTCCAACAATGAACGTCCCTCACAATGATTACGTCCCCGCCGGCGGCGAACTACCTGCGCTACCAGTACCACCCGCCGGCTTCAATCCGACGCCGGCCTACGACGACGGCAACCCCTTTGACGCCGACGGTAGGGCTGCCCTTGCCATGGATGTTCCAGCACCGTGGGACCCGTGCTACGACGACGACGACGACGGCCACGTCGTCCAGCTGGGCATCGAGGAGCCCGTGTCGTCGGTGTCCTTCGCTGCTCCGGTCTGCGACGGCGCCGGCACCCTTAACGACGACAACTCCACGGGGGCTCCTCCGAAGCTCTGCTGTCCCTATGACGGCTTTGACGAAGACATACAGGCCACCCTCCGGGCCCAGGAGGACGAAGCCAAGGCCAAGCCGTCCCCGGACTACCTGGAGACGACGCAGGGGGGGCGGATGAGCCAGGACACGCGCGCCACCCTCGTCGGCTGGATGAAACGGTTCACCCAGTGCTACGGCCTCGCCCCCGGCACGCTCCACCGCTCCGTCGCCTACGCCGACCGGTTCCTCTCCGTGCAACCGATGGCGGACGTCGGCATGCACCGGCTCCGTCTCCTGGGCGCTGTGGCCGTCTACGCCGCGGCCAAGTACGAGGACCAGGGAACCGTAGAGCTATTGGACGCCGCGGAGATCGCCAGCTACCGCCGCCGCTGCGGCCGCGGCGGCTTCCCCTCGAGCAAGGAGGAGGTGCTCGACATGGAGCGCACGCTGCTCGCGGCGCTCGACTACCGGCTCGGCCGCCCCACGGCGTACACGTTCGTGGAGCACTTCACCCGTCACTACGGCGAGGAGGAGCTGCGCCTGGAGCTCCGCTCCTGTGCGCATGACTTCGTGGACATGTCGCTGTTCCACTACAGCTGCCTCCAGCACAACCCGTCTGCCGTGGCTGCGGCGGCCATGTTCCTGGCGAGGCTGACGCTGAAGCCGACGTACGGGCAGATGAAGAGTTGGAACAGGGAGCTCAAGGAGCTGACGGGGTACGAACCCATAAAATTGGAGCGTTGCGTCGAAGCAATACACTCTCTGATTCCTCACCATGGTGATGGGTCCTACGACGACGTCGACCTCTTTCCAATGTTCTATGCGATTGCGGACCCAAAGTAGGAACAGCAGAACTGGTGCTCCGAGAAGCTAGCAGTGCACGGCAAGAGGTTTTAGCTAACGTAACTGCACAGAATCTGAGCAGTTTGTTTGGTAGTACTGAGTATGTATTTACGCATAGGGTATATCGAAGTGTATAGCAAAATTTATGTATCTTGAAAAGTAAAAACTCTTATAATTTGAAATGAATGGAGTATTTTTGTATTCATCTTGTGAAAGAGTTTAAAGAGCAACAACTGTACAGTGTGTGCGTGTGTTTATGACAAAAGACATTTGTCTCATGTACTGTGTACACAATTACAGTATTACGTACACATATACACGCCACCGGCGCACCTTTGTTTCTTCATATATCAGTATCACAAATACATATGTAATCACATTACTAGCAATACATATTAACAGAATATATACTGAGACTGAATAATCATGATAATGCACGCTCGAGGTAAGTACCCATAAGGAGTAACTAATTCTATAAAAAAAATCAAGCAGCAGCCAAGAAGAACCTTCCCTCCAAGTCATAAAGATTGGCCATCTTGGGTTCATTTGATAGGATATAGCTGAAAACCAAATAACATACCTAAAGGATTGACACATTATATTTTACATTCAGTTATTTTAACGTCTATAGGGCAACTCTTGGTTCGTTATTGTGCAGTTAATTATCTTCACCAAAATAGGTCACCCTAAATCCTTGTAATAACGGCTACTCAAATTTCATAGCACCAAATAATGGGTAACTGTTGACACTAAAAAATGTCCCAAGGTGGTTTTTGGGCACCACGAATAAGTTATAAACGTCTTTGACATGTTGGAGGTCAAGCGGCACGACAAAATAACGAACGAAACGCGCGGAGCCACCCGCGAGCCGAGCCAATCGGCTAGGCCGGCTCCCCCCCCGGTCGGCTTAGCCGAGTGCCCAAGTCGGCCAAGCCGACTGACCCTGCAGCCAGCCTGCGGGGGCTGACCAGCCCGCAAAAGCCGACTCCCCCTATCGGCTAAGCCAACTCGTCCTAGAAACCGAGTTGGAGACTTCCTAAAATCGGTTTTTGGTATATTTTTGACGTGGGAAACTTGGAGAACGCGTCTTGGAGATGTTTCTACTGGGATAAGACCACCCCCCTCTATATATGAGAGGATCACGGCCGATTGAGTTCCCATCTATCCAATCAAACAAAAACACATCTATCAACTCCTTTTGCCCTTTTACTCTTCCCTCGACCCCTCCTGCTGTTTGTTGAGATTCCCGGTGAGAATTAGCGGCATCCTAGGCGGCCTTGTTGGTCTTAGGAGTCCTCCACGTGCTCCTCCCCGACGGGTCTTCCCAAGAGAAGTTCGGGAGCGTTTTCGGCCAAGAACGGGCTCTACATCGGCCTTACCGGTCTCTAGATCGGTTTGATCGATTGCGCTGCATTCTTGCATTGCAGGTTGTATGCAACGTCTTTGGGCGTTCAAAACCCTTGCCGGTGTGTTACCTTGAGGACATCTTCAACGTCAACAGTAACACTCATGACACACTCCTCTACTCAAACAACATGAATATATATTTGGCAGCTCATATTAACACTCTACAAGTATTAGATCAACTAGGGCATGTTTGGATCTTTTGTTGGTTACTGTATCACCTTACCCAATAAGGATTCTGAGCGAGAGGTTATGTGTTTGGTTACTTAACCGGAGCGTTTCAGAGTCCGTGCAGACGAGATTTTGTTTGCTCAACCAAGAGAGCCAAATTGGCTCACCTCGCTGGGCGAGCTTCTTGTTGCCCGCGCCAACTAGGCAAGGCCATGCGACGAGAAGAACCAAACATGCCTCGCTTAGGTAGCTCCATCAAAATAGTGCTTACACAAAAGTTCAAATACATTGCTAGCTAATTGTCATGAAATATGCAATAGTTTACAAGGCAAACTACGTGTATAACAAAACAAGATCCACATTGTCATAATCTTTTGTCTAGCTAAGGGCATCCACAATGCTAGTGCATGCCAATCATGCATGAAAAGCAAACATAAGCATAGTTCAATTTCCGAAGTGTACACATCAATTGCTGTGGGACCCATACTACAGTAAAAAACTCTCAACTATCCATACTATCCCCCTTGTAGCCAAGCTTCATATCCATTCCCCATTCTTCCCCCCACCCCCTCACTACCCCTCCCAACAATCCAAACATAGATCCAGAAATTAGGCATAGAACTAAGTAGATTAGCTCATATGGACATGGACCCAACTGATCAATGGGCTCAAGAGCGCTATAGCGGATTGATTAGTTAGATTTTTTGCAGCATTGGATATCAGGTTGCATGTGGTGGTGCAAGTGCAAGATGCCTTGGACAAGTGTGTTGAGGGGATGTGTCCTCGTTGTGGTTTCCATCGAGGAGGTGGTGGCCTGGTGGCCATGCTCTTTCACATGGAGGCTCAACGTGGCCGCCACATTTGGAGGCTAACATACACCAGTACACCACCCACACCCACTGTTGAGCGGTGCTCTCCACCAACACGTTGGTGAGCATCGAAAACCACTCAACAATGAGGCGAAGCACCTCATCAACACACTCAACGTTGCTAGACACTATAGCTTTGGGATCAGTGGAAGGTGCGCTCCAATTAAGTGGTGCTAGCATTCAGGGGTGGAGCTTGGTTAAGGCCAAGCTGGGCCACGGCTCCCCTGCCTAATATAATGGAAATTTCCATTTGCTAAACAGTGAATTTTTTACTGTTCATGAGTCGTTAATACTCAGTTACATAGAATGGTCCCTCCTGGTTGTTTGATCAAGCTCCACCACTACTAGCATTGACAAGAGAGTGGTGTACAACGGCCATGTGCAAGATACATTATTTTATGAAGCTTAGGGCATCCGGAGTGTGGGAAATAACTAGGGCCTTATTAATTCCTAGTTGGCATTCATAGAGGCGATCATATACATAACAGAGAGTTGAACTTAACCCAAAAACACATATGACTCGATCATTGGCTTAGATCCTAAACTCAAGGAATAAAAAAATTAGTAGTGCCAATCCCTCATCACATCCACTAGGGAAGAAGTGGTGGATCGCGGGAAGGAGGCTTGCACGCAAGAGCATGTGCTTGGAAGATTTCTAGCGTGGTGGATCTCTAGCACTGAGGCTATGTCATTGTGGTGCTAGCAGAGGGTACCAGAATGTCACTGTTGTGCAATTCTACTAGAATTGGAGCCCATGGATGCCGCCCAATTTGGCTAAGAAAGAGCACCTCCATGATGGCAACATGCAGGGGATCCGCAAGGAGGGGTCATGGGCTTCGCCATTGGTGGCAAGAGACCACCAACACACCTGAACAAGGTACAGATTTGGCATGGATGAGTGTGGGGAATTCCATTGGGCAATGATTTTATGTGACCAAAAGATGGGGAAATGGAGCAAGCCAACATATAGTTCATTTTAAATGTGAAGCAGGACCCACCTTAGGGTCTAGTACCATTATCCTACAAAAGAGAAGGAGGCCATAGAAAATATAGGACCCGCCTTCAAAGTGAATTCAAGCCTTATTATAGGTTTTAGTGTTGATGATTCTTAATTAAGGATCTAACACATTTATTGAGCCATGAACAGAGTCTAAGCACAAATGGACAAGGCATATGTGCTTAGTCCCCTCAAAAATGAAATGCAAGAATACCACATAAAGATCATTTTTTAAAAAAAAAATTGTAATGCTTAGAATTGTGTTTAGGATGTTGTACTGCCAAGAGATACCTTTACATAAACTAGCATTCAAAAGTGCTCAACTGAACTAATAATACCTGAGATACACTTGATGCAACACATGCACTATTGGGGTTGGGCTATAAAATCTAAATTTTTTTTACTATGTCCACTTGCGGGTAATTCATTCGTTTGCGAATAATCTGCAATTGGACAGCATGTAGCCTTATACCAAAGTGTTGCAAATAATCCATTGAAATATCTGTCAAGTTGCATATTATCCATGCATTTTTGTGGATTATCCGCTGATTGACTCTTTGTTGCAGTCTAAGTAAATTGTCCAAGATGGTGTCTAGTCACAGATTATCTATGCATCTGCATGGAATGTTTGCAAATTGATTGTGCCAACGACTCTTTTTAGCGGGTGGGTATTTATACCTCACCACCCGTTCTAACAATTACCTTATTCAGTTTTGACAAAACCCTGGATAAGAACTCTTTATAGCGTTTAAGATGTTTTCCTCTCTTCCCCCCTGTGCCCACTTTTGTATTTGACTAGGATTTGATGAGCGAGAGCTTGAGTGGGGGTGACTGAAATTCCATCTCTTTAGCACTCATCTCTTCATCAAACCCATGGGTTGGTGTTTATTACTCTTGGAGCTTCACTCCTAGAAGGCTAAATGTTGCCTGTCAAAGCACCCAAGCTTGTGGTGTGCTCCAGGAAGTTTGTATTGCCCCACAACTCTAGTAAGTACCCTCAAGCTTGATCTTCGTGGATTCCTTGAGAAGTGGATAGGATTCAGAGAGACCGAGCCTCTATGGCTTCCACAACAATGAGGATGTAGGCACACCTTAGTGGAATGGCTAAACCTTGGATAAATCTTTTTTTCTCGTGTACTTGGCTTCTTTCTTTCTATTGCAACTTCTTCTTTGAGTTTGTTGTAAAGTGTTGACTTTTAGAGTTAAGCCCAATCTACTTCTCTATTAATTTTGAGCTGCATGTGACCTCTAGAATAGGTTAAGGAACACCCAAGCAACCCAAGAAACTTTGTTGATCTAATTTCTCGACAGGGTTGTGAGTAGGCAGCCTCACACCTATGAATACTTCACAAACTTGTGAAGCATCAGCAACAATCTATATGGATTATTTTCTGCAAGTGGCCTAACTTGTTTCCAAGATAGTGTTTAATTTGCAGGTCGTCCTACTCAACAACCACTTCCACTCCTCTAGGCCCTATTTGATCATTTCATGCCTTAAGGTCTCTAGAGGTATTAAACACTCTGGATGCCCTTAGTGTGACTCATCTGCATAATCAAATTTAGGCTCTGATAGGGTTGGCTCGAACGCTACAATGTTAATGGTTCGGTACTTCAGTGAGCATCACATGGTTTGATTTTGAACCACACTTGGAGCTATACTCTAAGAGCATCCTAGAATTTGTGCATGGAGAAGCAATGGATACAAGTTGCCACATGCATATATGGGGTTATTTGCAAAATATGTTAATGCTTATGGTATATGTAGAACAAACTTAAAACATACACTTAATAAGTATGTGTTGTGATTGGCTAGATTTGTTTCTTAAAAGTTATATCTAAAAGAACAAGTGCAACAAAAGAACCCACATATTATAGGTACATTCTCTCATTTTGGTTCAAAACTCTTAATCTCAAGTGCCTTCTATAAACACAGTGCAAAAATTACTTGGTCATACATCATAGTAATAATAGCCCAATGTGTATCTTTGCTATACAAATATCATTCCACAATAGTTGGCATATCAAACTAAAAAGCTTCAAAATAATAAATAAAAAATTAATTGCACACCTCAAATAATTAGATCAAACCAAAACAACTCCTAACAACAAACAACACTACAATAAATCCATCACAATAGATATCAAACGAATATTATACCCGGGCTGACACATCACTATATATTTCCAAATATAATTCTAAACAAGGAGAAATGAAAGAAAACATGCATACTGGTGACCATTATTTGTTGCATAAAAGAGTGTATAAAATACACATACTATTTTATTAGTATTTTTGTCTTTAATGACTAACCCTGTAATAGTTCTTAGTCTGCCACTCAGAAGGAGCATGTTTTAAATGTCATTGGATTTTCTAAAAAATTGTAAATCACTCTCTAATAGTGTTTTAACAATATTGAGTAGCACTTTGACAATTGGGTTAAGATCCACTGGCATCTCAGTAACTAATACTACTTGACGATCAACTTTCGCCAAAATTGCACCAAGTAAATAAAACTAGGTACTATATCTAAGCAAAGAATATCTTTGTTACTCAAATTAATATTCTTGGACGATAATTGGCATCCAACAGAAACACCACGCTAGTAATGGGTAGTTCATAAGCGCACTGTGCAATAATAATTAGATACACGCTCAAACCAATTAACGCCTGGTTCATTATGCATTGTATAATAATTGGCTTAGAATAGCTTGATCTTAACGAATAGTGCGTTACATACTGCATAATACTCCCTTCTTTTTTTCTAGGATACGCAAGAAAATTACGTATCATTATATTAAATAGATAGAGTTTGCAACTAAAGTATAGGAGGTGTCGTTGCCGGCGCTTGAACAGTTTGGGGCTACATTGTGAAAATAACAAGTAGGATCTTAAGCTTGTAAGGACATTCCCAATGGTGCATTGATGATGGTTTCTATCCTCATTAAATGACTTGCCACGTAGGTAAAATGCTGACATGGCAACGTAATTAATGAAGAAAGAGAGCAAAAATCATAGAAATTGTTTCCTCATGAAGAAATCAGGTCTACTCTTGACCCAATGCACCAAGAAACCATGAAATCGCCATTGGGGAGAAACCACCAGTTTCTAGAGAGCTCGTGTCGCATTCTCATTGGAGGAAGAAGATAGAGTTGGGAGAGAGAAAGAGAAAATAATTATTACTCATAGAAACCCTAGATTGAAAAGTAGTACTTTTTTTTTATGCGGTGTCCTATATTATAGAAACTACTGGTTTTTTCATTGGGACTGCCCTAAGCTATCTGTCTGCTAAGCCGGCTAGCCCCTTGGCGCCTGTCTCAATCCAACGATCTGCTTCCTCCTTGACGAGCTGAAGCAATTCGATGACCGTAGACGGTGAGTCCCTGAAGCAGCGTGCATTGCGTTCCTTCCACACCTGCCAGGAGACGAGTCCGAAGAGGCTGTCCATGCCTGACCGGCGCTCGCCGTTCTAGAGCGACCTCAGGCAGCGCCACCATCGCCTAACAGTTGGTTGCGCTGTGGGCGCCTGTTCTCCTAGCGCTTTGGATGACACAGTGCCATAGCTCCCTTGTGAAAGGACATGAGGCAATGATGTGATCTATCGTTTCTGGTTCTCGGTCACAGAGGAAACAGTTGTCCCTCGTCTCCAGCTCATGTCTTCTTCGTCAGTCTGCAGTCCAGAGCCTACGACGGAAAGTCAGCCATAGAAAACTTTTGACTCGTAACAGAGCCCAAGTCTTCCGGATAAGGCCGCGTTTAGTTGCCGAAAATTTTTGATTTTGGATTATGTAGCATTTTCATTTATATTTGTTAATTAGTGTCTAATTATGGACTAATTATGTTTGAAAGTTTTGTCTCGCGATTTCTCACCCAACTGTGCTATTAGTTTTAGTTTTTCGTCTACATTTAGTACTTCATGCATGTGCCGTAAGATTTGATGTGACATTTTGGGGTGAAATTTTTTGAAAACAGGCCCTAAGCTTATGACCCTATAACGTCGTTGATCCGGCATGCAGCATGTTATAGGCTGATTTTGCTAAATGCAAATACTCCCTTCATTCTAAGATTTTTTTTATTTTCTAGATCGATTGTTTTTACTATATATCTAAATATAGTGTATATGCAAGTACACATACTTCCTTCATTTTTTATTGATGTCATATTATCTTAGTCCTAAGTCAAATATTTGTAGTTTGGCCACTGTTTTTTTTTTTAAATTATATAGATTCATGTCATAAGATTTATATTTTGAGATTCACTATGAGAAATACTTTCGTAACATATAACTCATATGTTGTGAAACTATAAGAACTTTTTAAAATAGTTGGTCAAATATAGTAATATTTTACTTAGGATAAAGCCAATGTGAAACCAACAGAAGAAGTAGTAAAAGCAATATATCAGCCAAAATGTTTAACAATTTAGAACGGCTGCCGGATAGAGTAATTGGCATGGAACCAAATAGCACGCCGAAATCAAACAAGCATGCATAACAAGCTCAGAGAGACTGAGCTTCACTGCACTGGGGCGAGGTCGAACTGTTCTCTCCTGCTTCGTCCGCCGTTGTCGTCGTCGTCCGCCAGCGACATCTGGCTGAATCTGCTGGGACCCGGCGGAACCCAACACAGGCCTGCCGCCGCTCGCATCTCCATGCGCCGGCGCATGGCGTCCTCCTCCAGCACGAACCGCCGCATCAGCATTTCGTCGATCAGCGACGACCTCCCCCTGAAAGCGAATGTCCAGTAGTCCTCCGATTCTCCCGTGAGCACAGCTTCCGGGGGTGAACGGACCCTCCTCCTCCGCCGCCGACGACTCTTCCTCGGATCCAGCACGTCGTCGTCACGGACGCCGGAACAGACCGGCTCGCAGACGCACACCACGCGCGCGAGCGCCGACCCCACCGCCTTCTTGAGGGACGAGCGCCAGCGCGGCCTCTCCGTTGGCGCGCGCTCCCGTGCCCGCGCCGGCGCTTCCACGGCCGCGGGGTGCTTCCACATGAGGAGCCCGCCCAGCGCGCGACGGAACCACGAGGGGCGCGCCCTGGAGACGCTCCTTCCGCGCCCGACGACGACGCCGCTACCATCATCCCTGCACCAAATCAGCTCATCAGCGTTTCATCATAGACGGATCCAGCGGGCTGTCCGGTATGGCAAGGCATACCCTAAGCCCAGCCTAAGAATACACCTACCTCGCTATAAAAAAAATCTGAACCGAGCAGCGAGAGCCTCCGCGATTCCTCTTCGCGTCGCCGCCTCCACGGTCCGCGCGAATCACGAGTTCGCGACCACAGCAGCCAGGAGTGGCCAAGCGCAGCCCATGGCTGGCCTGGAGGCGCCAGCCCATTCCTTTCCAGAGGCGCCGCCCGTTTCAAAAAAAAAAAATGGTTTGGCGCCAGCTGTGCGCCCGTTTTATCCCCTGTGATTTGCTGTGCTGGAGTTATTTTCCTCCGTCTCTGTTTTTACTAGTGCAGGCGCACCCTATTGGGGACCCTCCCTACAAACAGCTAAAGTGACGACTGCTGAGGGCCACGTACAGCAAAGGCACCACCACTGAGCAGCTTGTTACCTTTCATCCTCTTCCTCCTTGCAATTTTCCCCAAATCGATAACCCTAATTTCCCTCCGTTCTAATTTATGTAGCTGGCTGTTGTTTAATTTCCCTTCAAATTAGTTCAATTGATGTAGTTACATAGTTGTACTGTAGTACACAGTGGGAATTAGGGATGAATTAGTTGAACTATTAGTGTAGGCCCAAAAAGTTGTGTTGTAATCCTATTTGGTCTTTAAGTTTCTATCATGCATATTCCAAACTATTTGTGTATTATTTGAACTATTTGTATGGTAATTTGAGACTTAATATGCTATTTAGTAGTTGTGTATCAAATTGTGTGACAATTTTAATGATACTTTATCAAATTGCTAAATAGATTTACCGATTTGCATATAAAAATTTTGGTTCGGCATACCTTATAAAAACATCCTAGATCCGCCGCTGGCATACTCTATAACAAACTCTTGACGATTCAGTCAGGAGATATACATATATATAAATCCAATCACTTGTTAATCGCTTATTAACAGCAGTATAGCTGCGATTGGTCTTCACATTGAAAACCGCGCTGATATGATCACTCACGCATGATGAAGAAACCCCCACCTTGACTGGATCGGCGAGGCGCCCGCCTCCTGTGGCTGCACCGAGAGAGAAGCCTCCATTTCACCCAAAAGCAAGCTATTCAATCTCATCCCCGTCTCGCGAGGACGACGACGACGGACCAGTTCTTGTCTGTGGCGAAAGGACTGTGTGCTGCTGGAGTCACACCCTCAATCCCTCATCACGCACTCCTTTAAGTACTACTAGGGCTGCTAACTCGGCCCTTGTCAGAGTGAAGCAGGGCAAAAACACCTGATGTCATGCATTAATCAAGTGCTCAAGCATTGATCTCCTTCAGATAGCCTATTGTGTGATTGCTTAACTCCGGGGGAATCCGATCAAGCAGAGCGAAATGGAGGAATGCATTTATTTCATGACGGGCTGCGATATCCCCTCATTTATATCATATAATATCTTGTAGATAGATGTAGATTAGTTTGGTGAGCGTGTGGAATTTCGAAGCTATCTGTTGGGCAGTTACTGGTGCTTATATAATGAAAAAAGGGGTGATTGAATGCTAGAGATGTAGTAGAGATGTTGATGAAACTGAAAGTTGAAATCAGAGGAAGAGGACAATGGAACGCGTGGATGGTTGGACGCAGTACCATTTTTAAATGAGAAATTTGAAAAACTAAGGAAATATCGTGTTTTTAATGAAATTGAAAATTAAAGTAAATGTTCACTATTTTTACATTGGAAAGTGCCCAAAAAAAAAGAGTTCACGTTCTTTGTAACAAAATTGAAAACAAAGAAAAGGTTCACTGTTCTGACGAAACTGAAATGTAAAAAAAAAAGTCCACGTTCTTTGAAACAAAATTGAAAAGAGAAAAAAATATAATGCAATATTATTAAAAAGGCGTGGTCGGCAGGATTCGAACCTGCGCGGGCAAAGCCCACATGATTTCTAGTCATGCCCGATAACCACTCCGGCACGACCACTTTGATGAGGGGAGATAAATTACAATTTATTTATTGGAGAACATCTGTTATCCAATGTTTTCCTGGAGAGTCCAGATAAATAATCATGGGAACCGTGTACGTAACATGAACAGATATCAAATGTCAGGGACGGTACTTTTTTTGTTTAGCATAGCAACGGCGCGGTGCCCGGTGTATATCTTGTGAGCAGTGGCGCAGCCAGCCGAGCGGAAACCGAGAGTCCGGGGACTCGCCATACCAGGGGGCCAGCCGCCCAGGGCCAAACCGTCAAGCAGGAAAACCAGCGTCGCGCCCCGCCCCAGCCCCCGCAGGCCGCAGCCCCGACCGCACTCGAATTTCAGCCGGGGGCCGGAAGGCCATCTCGGCGGGCTGCGTGACAGCGTCAGCGGGACAAGGATCAGCGTGCGTGCGTGCGTGGTGCGTGGGCGTAGCTTTGGTCCGCCGCATCCACCGCAAGCAAGGCCATGAGGCGAGGCGTCGCCGAGACCCAGAGCGGGCCGAGCCGGGGTCGTTTGTGCTTGGACCAGCCGCTCGCGGCGACCGACGGATGCTGACGAATGGAACAATTCTTTTTTTTTTCCCCTCTCTTTTTATGTCATGATTTGGACGAATGGAATGATTTAGGAACGATGAAAGATAGGAATGAGTTGGTGTGCGGTTGAATCTAATGATAGCACGAAGCTGGAAACGATTGGATTCTCTACCAAAGCGTTGTACCATACGGCTCTTTTATATTCTCTTCTCTTTACACCTAGCTAGCCAGAGCCTTTTTCTGAGAGCAAGATGGTATCATCCTCTGACCCATGGAGGAGCTTACACGAGCTAACAATTCCAGAGTGCCTCGCTCATGATGTAACTTTAGTTGCTTTAACTCTTGCTTTGCTGCTCCTAATTGACTAATGCAGCATACACTCGACGGCCGATTCCAATCATAGATGAGTGTATGCAACAACAGAGCTGGTTGCTATCTAATATTATATATTTTGTCTCGTATCATCTTCAACTCATCTAATGTTATTTATTTATCTTATACATACTGTATATTACAGGCTAGGAGAGCGTATTGTTGGACTGTAACAATCTCTGTTGAGGATTTAACTTCGCCAACAAAACTTAGCCCCTAGAACTTCGGAGTTAAAATTATGATTTCCATAATAAAGTTTGACCACAGGGAAAAGAAGCAGAGCAAAGTTAGAAATTTGACTTCGCCAGAGAGAATTCATCTTCGCTCAAAAAACCTCATCTTCGCTCATAGGAAGAAAGAGACAAAATCAAGCGAAGACAAAGAATTAACTTCACTGGACATCTTGAAGACTAAAAGATAAACTGAAAATCGACTAAGTCCAAGTGACGAAGACACTAAGAATATTAAAGACCAAAAGCCAAAGAATGAAGGCTTAGAAGAGGAAAAAGACCACTTCGCCCTTATAGTTGAAGATGGTTGTAAATATATTAGTTAAGGGTAAAATGGTCATTTGTATGTAAAATGCGAAGCCTTGGGTCTATGTAAATACCCCTCTGACATATATAGTATCACGATGAAATGAATGGAGCTTTGCCTTTTGTTCAAACTTTGATGTTCGAGTGATTTCTTAACCCAACAATCTCGCGTATAGATTATTACAATATGAGACATGTTTGTTTGTAACGAACTTTTTTTTGGAAGTGGGCTATGTTTGTTTCAGATTGCTTGCATATCGTAAAACAAATTGCTTGACGTGTGTTAAGAACAGCTACCTTTTTTCCCCTCCTTGTCCCGCTCAGTAATAAAGAAAACAAGTACAGTTTGTGACGAAGAGGCCCCCACGGCATCCCTTAAGAATGGCCTTAACGGTGCACACCGTGGAGCACCGTTGTGCTCGGCCATCGCCCTCCAGGCCTCCAGCCGCACGCACCTACCTGCTAATCATTGCATCTTTCGGCTCACCGCCGCCAGCCGCTACCGCTAGTACTAGTAGCTCTCACCGACGACTACCCCGCGCGCGCTCCGCTCACTTTAAATGCTCCAGCGCACTGGCCGTGGCAGGCCTTCCGCCGATCGCCTTCCCTTCCCTCTGCTTCCCACCATTTCCCAGAAACCCACAAACGCCTTCGAATTTGAGTAGACGAACGGTTAGAAATCGTCACCTCGCCGCGCGTTCTCCGTTCCCCTCTGCAGCCTCTCGCTCGGATCCTCCGGTCCCGGCGATGGGTCAGTGCTTGTCGTGGGCGCTGGGCCTCCTCCTGCCGTCGCTGTGGGAGGCCGAGGTCGCCATCTCCGCCACGGCGCTGCTCATCGCCGCGCTCATCCTCTTCCTCTTGACGTCGGACCAGCACGCCGCCAAGTCCACGGCCGCCAGCGGCAACACGCCAGCAGCCTCGTCCGCGAGTTCATCTGCCACCGCAGCAGCCGCGGGCCGCGGCCGGACCCGCGCGAGAGGAGAGGCGGCTTCTGAAATCACTTGCGCTCAGGGCGGCGGCGGCGGCGGCTACGTCATCAAGGTAACTATACTGCCACATGGCCCATGGCATTTGGCAACTCTGATCGATGATTGCACCCGCATGCCTGTGTTGTTTTTTACGCGTTCAGTTCATATGCATCATCGATCTGTGCTTTTCAGCTGGAGCTGCTCTCGGCCAAGTACCTGATCGGCGCCAACTTGGACGGCAGCTCCGATCCTTTCGCCGTCATCTCCTGCGGCGACCAGAAGCGTTTCAGGTGGTTTACCTGCTTCCCTCTCCCTCCACAGCTGATTCTTCAGAGCGAGCTGTGAATGACTGATTCTGAATGAAGTGAGGCTGCCCACACTGTTTGTGCAGTTCCATGGTGCCCAGCCAGAGAAACCCTCTGTGGGGAGAGGAGTTCAATTTCCTGGTCGAACAACTCCCGGTTGAGGTAAGCAACAAAACAGCAGCGTCTTCAGTTCCTCAATGCTCACTGCATTTGAATTTTGAAGTGCGCGGACAGCCGAAAAGGTGATACCGTGATAGCCACTGTATCCATCTTTCCAGACCCATTTACTACTATGGAGTCACTGACATTCATCCACACTGCTTAGCTTGTCTGTCCCAAGCGTGAGAGAACAGCAACAGTTCATGTGTGATATTCTAGACAAATGCTCCGTTAGAGATGGCCCAGGGTGTACGCCAGCCTTGTTCTGATACAAAACTGTTGCTTTGCCACTGCAGTACTGCTAGTAGGAACTACAACTGTCAGCTTTTTAGAAGCTTCAAGGAACAGCGAAATCGTTTCCTTTTGCTGCTTGACATTGAGAATTTTGATACAAAAGTACATAAAATAGAAACAAAAGCGCTTTGCTGCGTCATAATCATGTGACAGAAAATTTTCCCACGACGTACAACATCCCACCTCAACCCCACTCACGATTAGTGGTCCACATGACAGCGTACGTAAGTTAGACCTATCGAACTCAATGTTTTGAGTTGTGGATACCAACCTACAGAAAGTAATGTAAAGTACCGTTAGCAAGCAGTATATTAAACTTGGGAGTACATGGCGTGCATATGCTTTGTGCTGCACGGATGGAAGCATCATAGCGGCTGGGATACTAATTCAAGTTAGGATTGAGTCACTGGAGTGCGGGTCCCAGGCGCTAGCCTCAGAGTGACATTAACATGACGTGCTAATGATTCAAGTAAGATTAACAAGCAATAAACTGTATAAGTTCAGTAATGAAATAAAGAGGTAAAGTACGACTGAATTCATGTGGCTCTGAATAAAAAGTTGAGAACATCGAAAAAGAATATTTGATACCAGAATTGCTGTGATAAAACGTGTGACATGTGTTGCTACTTTCTGCACAGGTAACCATAACAATATATGATTGGGACACTATGTGCAAATGCAAAGTTATTGGATCTGTAACCATAGCTGTTCTCACTGAAAATGAATCAGGGGCAAGTTGGTATGAACTGGACAGCAAATTTGGTCAGGTAAGACGTGCATTTTGTGGAAGACTTGTGATTGGATATTTTATTGCATTTGCGTCCATCTTGGTGACTCAATGAATTTCAGCTTGTATTTACAATACAAAAACATCTGGCTGCAGATCTGCCTGCGTCTTCGTTCAACTAAAGCATTTCCAGATTCTGATAGGTAACCTTGTGTTGGAAAAAACAACAACAGCATTTCTGAATGTAAACATCATCCCCAATTTAATCGTATTTTCCAGCTCCTTTGAAGAATGTAATGGAGCTGAGTCCCCACGAAAGATGATACTGAATAAGCAACGCCAAGCGATGATTGAAGGCATTGGTCCTCTGCAGATCATATATAAACTTCCTCATGATGAAGTACTTTTCTCAACAAATTATAATGCCATATGTAGGCGTGCAGTATCGTATACTCACCAGAACTTATAATTTATTGATACATCCAATTTATCTCTTTATCGTTGCAGATTGTTCACCAAAGTTACTCCTGTGCTCTGGAGAGATGTTTCTTGCTCCATGGCCGTATGTACATCTCCCAATGGCATCTGTGCTTCCACTCTAACGTATTCTCCAAACAATTGAATGTAAGCAAATATTTTGAAAATGGTTCCTGGAACTTAATATAGCTTCTTCATATATAATTAGAGGGTGCATACAGTGATTGAAGATGAAATGTGCATTAGGCTTCTCTCCAGCTCTCTTCAAATCCCAAACTGATCCTTGGACAGTTGTAAATGATGAGAGGGCAGGGCACATCATAATATCATTTCATATGCCTAAGAAAATCTGTAAAAGTTGAGTTGTTCTTCTAGCAGCTCACTGGCACAAATAAGGTCACTGCCACAACCATTGCATAACAGTATCAAATTAAAATAGCGACAAAAACTTTCAGGCCAACTTTTCATATTTTATCCCTATATGATATCATTGAGTTCCTTCTCTAAGACCTGCATTTTTTTAGATGAATATTCCATTGCAAGACATATACGAGGTATGCAATCCATATGGCCCTTTCTGGCATACAAACAGTGTTTGTTTTCTTTTATTGAGAGCTAACATACAAATGAATTTATCCTGCAGATAAAAAGAAGTCAGCATTCTCTTATCAATCCAGCAATTACTATTTTTCTTAATGCTGGTGCAGGTGGACATGGAACACCTCGTGCGTGCAGTCAAAATGGTAAATCAATTTTGATTGGCACTTTTAATAAGTTATATACAAGCATACACCTAATTAGAAAAGTAGGCCTTATGGATTTTGTCTGCAAGAGTTCTGAAAACTTCAATCAGAGAGTTGAGTGTATTTACAAGCTTAAGTACTCCTGCAGACAAAGCACCATCACACATGTGCCGTGTTTTTTCACCTTCCATGTTGGAAAACTATGAAGAGAATTTTACCATTGAACTTGAGCATCCGTCTAATTTTTCAGGAAGGATCAGGTATACCTTCGCATCATTCTGGAGTAGAAACCGTACATTTAGAGCTCTAGAGGCTGCACTACAAAGTTATGAAGCAACCTTGGAAGCTGAAAAACAGGTACTTAGTACGTGTTCGAACTTTATGTTTCGATATCGTGTTCGAACTTTATGTTTCGATATCTTCTCGCCAAAAATAACCTGATGTTTATACTTGTTCTCCCACAAACAGGTGAGAGCACATGTACTTATACAAATAGAACGTAACAGTGTGTTCTGCAGTAAGTCAGACAACACAAAGACACCAGAAAAAAACATTGAAAAGGCTATAAAATTCCAACCTTTCATCAATGACCATGTTCTTGCAGATGTAACCAGTGTGAGCATCCAACTTTGTTTTTCCAATTCTTCTGATGCATAACCCATTTCCTAATTCTGATATAACATATCTTGCAGAAGTTCTTCCCTGGCACACCTGAGAAGTTTTTCAGTACAATATTAGGTGACAATTCAATGTTTTTCCAACAATACAGGGATGCAAGAAAAGATACAAATTTGAAGGTGTCTATTTGTCAGTTGCACTATCTACATGCTCTGTTTGTTCATGTTAATTTCTTGGAGCTGCTACTAATTTGACTGCTAACAGTGATGACCAACATCATTTAATAGATAATGTTTTCTTTACTGCAGCTGAGCAGGTGGTGTGCCTCAGAAGAGTACGGTGGCAAGGTTCGTGAAGTGACTTTCAGGTCACAGTGCCACAGTCCTTTGTGCCCTCCAGACACCGCAGTGACAGAATGGCAGCATGCTTCTTTCTCAAGGGATAAAAGAAACTTGGTAACTATAACTTAGAGCAGATTTATCAATGCAATTTCTTGGGGAAGTTTTCTCGTTGACGAAAGGATGAGTATTTGTCTGATTTCAGATCTATGAGACAAAGCACCAGGCACATGATGTTCCTTTTGGTTCTTACTTTGAGGTATTTAGCATCTTTTATAGTACATTCTTAAAGAATAATAGTCAAAACTGAATACTTAAATAATTTGAAAGAATTTAAAAGATATCTATTAACAAACTAGTAGCTCTATGAGACTCAGTAACTTATGTGCTTATAGAAATAATTTATATTTAATAGCAACCTTCTTCATTTTATGTCTTTCTTCAGTTAATATTGCACATGTATAAGTAATTTAACACTTTTTGAATTAATGCAGTCACACACTTATATTCATCACTGAAGCTGTAATGCTAGTTAACAGAACATAAAGATTAACCATTTCTTTTCCATACAAGACTGCGTGTTATTCAATTTTGCTAGTATGAACATAAATATCTTTTCATTTAGATTAAGTTGAACTAAAATAGAATACATGAGATGCAACTGTGGCAACGCTACACATGAGGAGGGAGATGAGTTTGGAAGGTTAAGTGGTGCCTAAGAAAGATATCTTCCATTATCTAGGATCCATGCTGCAGAAGGATGGAGATATTGATGCAGACGTTTGTCATAGGATTAAAGCAGGGTGGATGAAGTGGCGCCAAGCATCTAGCATTCTCTGTGACAAGAGGGTACCACAAAAGCTTAAAGGAAGTTTTATAGAACGGCAATTAGACCCGTTATGTTGTATAGAAGCAGAATGTTGGCCTATAGAAAAGACGACATGTCCAACAACTGAGTGTCGTGGAAATACGTATGTTGTGTTGGATTTGTGGTCATACAAGGATGGATCGAGTTCGGAACGATGATATATGTGACCGTCTAGGGTAGCATCAATTGAAGAAAAACTTGTCCAACATCGGTTGAGGTGATTTGGCCATGTCCAAAGGAGACCTTCAGAAGCACCAGTGCACTGTGAAGTTCTAAGTTGAGATATCAATGTGAGGAGGGATAGAGGAAGACCGAAGCTAACATGGGAGGAGGCAATAAAAAGATATTTAAAGAGTTGGGATATACCTAGATATCTTTGTTTGATAGGAGTGTTTGGAAAACAGCTATTGACATGCCTGAACCGTGACTAGAGGCTCATATTGGGTTTTAACTCTAGCCTATCTCCAACTTGCTTAGGACTAAAAGGCTTTTTGTTGTTGTTGTTGTTGTTGAACATAAATATCTTTTCAGCAGGGAGAATTGTGGCTGATACATTTTTTATAGATCCACTGCAGGTGGTCGCTAAGAACAACCTCCAGTTCGACATGTCAAGTAAATATAAAGATCGGTTAGTTGAACTGCATTTCCATAAAATCTATTCAGGAGGACATTTTCCGATAATATACATTATCTTTCTGCAATAATAGGTGTAAACATGAAGAAATGGTGCATATTGCAATCCAGAATAAAATCTGGAGCAACCGATGAGGTATGCAATGACATCTTTGATACAGTTTCCTAGCTAAAGAATATATGCACTGGCGACATGAGGGTTCATTGATATTTCACAACTCCATAAAACAAGAAAATGGAAAGACAGTAATTACTTCAGAATTCAAATTTCTTGGACCAATTTATAACACCATAATTTCTAGCCTCTTAAAACTTCATCCGTATTAAACCTGAGGCAGAAAGGATCAGTTTTAATCTCAGTCCAATAGCTGAACGTTCTGGGCTTGAGGCAACCTCTTTTGCTCTCAATTAGGATTTAGGAATGTGACAGAAAGATGGTGAAGCGACTCGAATTGGCTCTGCACCACACAACCCTCTGGTTATATCGAGCATAAGATCAAATAACCTAATACTGATGTTTTCAGAAGCACCATTGATAGTTTTTGTTCTTGACATGACCTGTATTCTGGTGCAGTACCGGAGAGAAGTTTGCAAGATTTTGGAGGCTGCTTGTGATTATTTCCTCAAATCTGAGTCAAATAGCCATGACAGTGACGAGATTGTGATGGCATCTTCACCGTGAAAGCCTACAGATGAAAAACACCTACACAGTGCCATGCACATATACAAGTGCAGTGCAAACAAGTTTGCAAGATTTTGCAGGGTGATTGTGGTCACATCCAAAAGCTGGGGAACAGACAAACCAGCAATTACATTGTGCAGATATCCAAGATAAGTGCAGTGGGAAGCCACCTATGGAATTGCATACACATGAAGAAGAGGCTTCAGATCATGGAGACATTCATGCGAAGTAGTGAACCAGTATGATGTGTCGTTCAGTACATAAACCAAGTAATCATAGTAGTTACCTAGAACAAGATAGGTTACATTGATGTTACATACAATGCTCAAAACAAAAGAGAAACTTCAAACTTCTGCAAGGATCGGTGCAATTTGACCTGTTGATGTAGTAGTGCAAGTTAATTAAATTACCTTAACCAATTCCTATAACATAATACTCCCATAAAAGAGTACACGGGACAGAAATCTCTCCCCTCATTCATTGACACCAATCAGTTCCTGGTAACTTGTCTGTCAGTTCTTGACTTCAAAACTCCTGTATGCAACATATATTGGTGGTAACAATTTGACATTTGTCCTTCTATGATGGATTTCTAACCTTGATGAGGTGGATGCTTATAAAATCAAACAGGAAAACAGAAGAAATGGTTTCTCATACTTTGTTGGGATGCAATAATGTGCATGCAATTTTTAATCATAAGTAATGCTTCAATGCTTAAATCAGCTGGGAACTGCATAATGCAATGTAACAGTCACAAATAAACAGCTCAGATAGTCCAAATGGATTGGCAAGACAAGTATGAGAATTTCCATTATAAGGAGCGGCTTTGCATGCAAGAAGCATAACACTTTGTTTTTAGAAAGTACTAGTAAAGTGAGTGACGTCACATACCAGCATTGGATGCAATCAATGCTGCTTAATGACTATCTTTGAGACCAATATCATCGTGATATCTTCGAGTGGAAGATCTACCTTGCATTGACATATAACTGATACACAATATATTTGCGCAAAAGATCTGTCTCTAGTGATTGGCAATGTTTCTATTTGCAAAGGAGTATTCCACACATCACGTGGTAAATGCTTCCAATCACATTAGTATTGCCATGTACAAGCATGGTTTATATATGTTACAAGTCCAGAACCTATCAATGTTTTTTTATGAATTACTCTTAATAACAAAATAGATGATGTTCTGCATAAGGCAGAAGGTTATATGAATGACCATGCCATTGTTCTACTCTTCTAAATTACGATCAAACATCCTAACATAATTACAAGATAGCCAACATGGGACAAAACCAACAAGGTGACAGACGATTCAGATACAACTAATCCCCATAATAATCCGAACATTTAATATATCGTATGAAGGGCCCCATAATAATCCGAACAGTCATGGTCTCCTTTAATATATCGTGCTTTGAGTACGCCCTTTTATAATAAAGGTAAAAAGGTCAAAACATCAATTACATCAAATTAAAAAGATAACCCAAGAGAAGAAGCTTATATTCTAAACCCTACAGTTCTCTATATTTTTTACATGAACAAACAAAACATAATGGCAAACTGTATGTTAGTGCTACTGATTATTTACAGGTCCTAAATTATGCCACTCTGGTTTGTGTAGGAAGTATAAATTACAACAGTTATCATGCATTCCTTGACCTAAACTCGTTCTCAAGCTTCTTCACCTTTGCCTCTTGTGCTTTGATACCACTCTCAAGATTCTTGATCTTTGCTTCTTGCTCCTTTATTATCAGAGTGAGGGACCTAACATCTAAAGCCCCAGAGATTTGGTTAAGTGACTGAGCCTGTAACAATATTAAAGAAGAATCAAACCATATCTCTTGTTTGGAAAACCGTAAAACATAGTACGAGTTGCAAGACTTAGTAGGAGCCAATTATTACACCTTGGTGTGAAATATATCACCTACTCCAGCACGTTGATCGCTTTGGCAAAGCTATGCCAGCACATAGAGGCATACAGTTGCCTTCTGATAAACACGTTTATTCTTTCACTGGTTCAACAATTACTCACAGCTTCTAGTTGTTGAGTTAAATAACCGTCAGTTTTTTTTTAACTCGGAGCTTACATACATCAGGCAAAATAGGAAGCTAAACTAAAAATGGTTTTTGCATTTACATTCAAACTTCTATAGGACAGTACAGTTTAAATCCAGTTAAAGAGGGTCAAATAAAGATTATACTAACCTTCTCAAGGAGTTGTAATCGTTGATTCATATCATTAACGGCAGCATTTTGTCTTGTACTTGCTTGGAGAACATACAACAGATGCGTTTGAAGTAGCTTCGAACAGTGATTCTCAAGATTACCTTGTGGAAAGGCTGTTTCACATCCAACATGGTAGAAAGGACAGTTAATAAGCTTCATAGCGCAAACTGTTGCACAATGTTTGTCCATCTCACAACGCATAACATGTTGCTCGCACAGCTGCTCACATGGCAGGGCCTTAAATGGACAGATGGAGTCATGCTCCTCGATATGAATGGCAGAAAGTGAAATTGAGCATCCATCATTTTTGCAGTCCACTACTCTAAATTTGCACTGACTTCTATGGTCAGCCAGCTTGTCTTGCTCAGCAAAATTTTCGGGACAGTGGAAAATGCACTTCATGTCTATGCTTTCAAGAATAGTCTCTGCAGTAGCCTGCCTTACGTCCAGTGTCCACACATTCTCCATCTCCATCTTCTGCATAAAATCTTTAATTTTGTTCAAGCGGCTTTCACTAGACAAAAACCCAGACACATGGCTCAGCAAGTTCCTTTTGGAAGCCACGAAGTCATCAATCAAGTCTGATAGGAACTCGGTCGGCCTGGTGGACGCTTTCATCAATTGATATGAATGATCCTGGGCTCCATCCACAAACTCATGAATAAGCGATTCAGTTCTCACAAGCAGATAATTTTCTAGCTCGGTCTTCACAGCAGCAACTACAGAAGATGCGCTCTTGAATATATCGCCCGTGGTGCTGTCCACTGAAGCTGTGGCCAATCCACGGAGCAGGAGTTCTGCCATGCTATGTGCAACCTCGGTGTCACATAGGTCACACCGTGAACTATAGCCATCTTCCACCACCGCACTCATAAGTCTGTCCAATGAAAATCTGAACAGTATGCTTCAATTGGTAAAAACAGAAAAGGAAACTAACACAGAATATATAAATTTAGAAACAGGTCAACATCTATCCTTGTATACTGAAGAAAGTTCATGTAATAAACGTGAAACAATATCTAGATAAGCCAGAGTCCCAGAGCGAAATCTTTTGCACCATCCAGTCATAAACAAGAACAGGGAACCGATGGCCAGGACCATCTCCGGGAGTCCTGCGCCTCCCCGGCCATCAACAACTAAAGTGAGATAAGGAAGAGAACTAGACGCGAGTTATCTCCCTAACAGGGGCACTGTATGGAGCCTCTGGGATCGAATTGGAGCACCGCACTCCCGAGCCTTGATGGCACAAATTGAAAGAAGAACGCGATTCGTTGACCCGAGCTCTCGGGCCGGTTCAGAGGCTTAGGGGCCGGAGGTTGGGTGCTGCGCTTACCACTGGACAAGGCAGGTCGTCGTCGGGACTCGGGAGCTTGGTTGCGGCGACGTGATCACCCGGAGCGCCGGAGGCAGCGGTGGTGAGGAGACCGGCGAGGCGACGAGCCCGTGACGGCGTGACCGGAGGGGCGGGAGGGCCGGGGCCTGGATCGCTTGGGTTGGGCCGTTAGGGCTGGCGTGGCTGGGATAGTGCTCACTTTGATAATACATATTCGATATATTCTCCAACAACTAGACCCAACAGACCCAATAGATAATCATTTCTGCAAATAGTTTTCTAAGAGAGAGGATGTTCATATTTGGGTTGTGCCTCTCAGGCAACTCAAAATAGGTCTCCCGTATAGGTACTCTATTGGAGTCTGATTTTGGGTCTCTTGCTATCCATTTTTTGTTTGGATGCTCATATGGGTTCCTTGCTAGAGACAGTCTCATTGATACAAATCTCATAGTTATATTTTCTCAAAAAAATCATAGTTATATTCTTTTGTTTGCTAAAAAAAAGCTATATATTCTTTTATGGACTGAGTTAGTACTATAGAAAAATAAATCATATACCTATTAATAGGATTACCCTTACGTTATTTGACAAAGTTAATCCTATTTTATTCACATCATAAATTATAATCTAGTTTATAGTGTATAGCCCCTTCATCCATAGAGGTCTTTAGTTTGAACTCATGCCTATAATTTATGTCGTTTCTAGGTCTAACCTTAGGATGTTTTCCTATGTTGAATGGTGGGCAAAAATCATTGATGATTTCTCTATAACTTCTAAAGCTTTTCGCAAACTCGAGTGCTAAAGGTTCAAAATTCTAGAAATGCCCACTGTGACACCGTTCTATTTTTCCTGACCTACGTGCCATCAACAACCCTCAAAAGGAGAATTCTATGTGGTATAAATACCTCCCACCACATAAAACTAACCGTTATAACTTTACTAGAGTTGCAACGTGTCAGTGAAAACCGAGCCATCCTGTTTTAACACCTATCGCCGTTAGACACACAAGAACTCATGGGCCTAAAAAATTCTGATCTTCCTCAAAAATTTGATCCAAAAAGACAAAGAACCTATGATAAAAATTCTTATAATTTTTAATCCTCGTCACAAGTCAATCTCAATCAGGTATGTCATACGAGGACATCCGATTTTGCCTGAGTTAGTCTCTGATTGAGATTGCCATACCAAGTCATTTGGCATGCAATATTGGGGCATCCAATATTGCAAACCTTAGGTTCATGTTTGTGGATTATTTTCCCACACAAATATCGGGGCATCTAATATTGCAAACCTTAGCCCATAAGGTTGTCTCTATTGATGTAAGGTGCATGTCCATTTGAAAACTTATAGCACGCGTAATTGTACATTGATTGAAACAACCAAATATCGTTTCTAGCAGGCTAAGTTTAGATAGTAGATGATAAAAAACACGGACCTTACATGAACAAAGTATAAGTCGGTGAGAGGGTATAGCTCTAAGGTATGAGCTAAACTCATCATATCCTTAGGATCATGATTTTAGTATTATTCTTTGTACAACTTTCTTGTAAACTGATAGGTAAGACGTAGTCTTTAAAAGAAAACAATATTTTGATGTTAATCCATCTATACTATAAAAGAGCGAAGTAATTGATATATACTTGTCACACAATATTTTCTTACCCACCTCTACTATAAACTCTTAGATTAATGAGTGTCTTTAAATCTAAGGATCCATATCAATCTATATTAGTAGGTCACCTCCCCTCCTACGCCTACAGATCTTACCTCTTACGCGTTCCTGCCGTGGAAAACAGCCTCGGCGTCCTCCCGCACGCAGTTTTTTTCACCCGGAAAGCAACATACCCGCCGACACGTACCCATCTGGTGGTCGCCTCACCTTTCACCCGAAAAGCAACATACCCGCCCACGCTTACCCATCTGGTGAACGCCTCACCCCGTGACTGCGCCCGCCTCCCACGCCGCCGCTGTAACCGCCCGCCCCCGCGACCCTTCTTCCCGCGTCCGCTCACCGCCGCAGTTGCATGCTCGCTTCCCTCCGATCCACTCACCCTACAGGCCGGCCCTGGTGGCGGCGCGGCTCTCCTCGCAGGAACGGTGCCACGGCAGCGGCGGCGGCGGCCCCAGGCCTGAGGTCCCAACTGCCCCTGGCGGCGCCGCAGCCAGGCCTGCGTGCACGACGGCCCCCGGCAACGACACGGCTAGGCCCGTGCGCACGGTGGACACTGGCGGCGGCGCGACTCCAATCCACATGTACGGTCTCTTGAGGTGCCCCCAAACCGCCATCGTCTGCGGCAGATCGATTTGCTGGAGAACCCGGCGATTGAGGGTGTCGTCCTGCTCTCAGTGTTCTGATTAGTTTATCTTTACAGTCAATTGGATATTAGCCAGGCTTCCAAGTTAGAAAAAGAAGCTTTCTGTTCCATCATGGCCTTCCCGTCTCCAGCACCTTTTTTTTTGTTGTTGATGGAACCAGCAGATAAATAGAGGTGAGATGGCATTTTTATCAAAAACTAATTTGTGAAAATGAATTTTCCTGAAATAGATACATCTTTTTTATCTGCATGTTACCAAGAAGATCTGCTAGACAAACGTATGATCATGATCGCTCTGGCTAATTATGCATGTTATAAACCTTCAAAAAAATTATGCATGTTATTTAGGTATCAAGAAGAAAGTGGCGGCAGTAAACTCAGCCTTGCGTGGTTGGTCAGATACGTTTGATTCTCTAATGTTTCCAGCTACGGTATGTGGCCCAATATCACACAATACTTTTCACAATTTGTGCAGGTTGTTCATAAGGTTGAAGTATGTTACCAGGGATTTATTTTACAAAATCATGACCTCATTTCTGTATGACTGTCACAGTTCCATGCAAGCTCATAATTAAGCAAACAGAACTTGTTATTATTAAGAATGAGATATTAGAATGGGGAAGTATATGTTACTTGATTTTGTAGTTCTTGTTAGCTGATACAGTTGTCCTTTGTCTTGTTCCGCTGGGATGAGATAATGCGCAGACGCAGGGGAGCCTGAGGTTGATGTGGATGTGGAAGATGGAGATGTCAGGAAGGTTGGGGACCTTGGAGATGGATGCCTCGGCGTGTCACATTCAGTGCTTAGGTCTGGTAAGCGTCAGTTTGATGACAACGACGATGCAATGTATCCTCTTTGGTTTAATTTTGTTCAGAAAGATAGATTGTTTGCCTGACTGTAGTATATGGTACAACATTTCAATGAAACGGCTTATTGGCAAGTTCACAATGGTGACCACAAACTATCAGCACACCTCATGGTTGAAGATCTTGAATTGTTTGAGTGATGAGGAACTTCATGTAAGTGGTGGCTTTTTGTCAGGGATTATCCAAGTCAGTGCTGCGGGAGCAGTTCAAGTCCTTCAATGCTGCATTTGAGCATGTGCATGGGGTGCAATTTGGGTGGTGTGTGCCAGACAACCAGCTGAGGGAAGAGCTCAGGATCGAAATTTGTTGAGAAGCTGCTGCCAGCATACCTGTCAACTAGCTGATGTTGCTATCTATTCTTTTATTCTTCACAAGGAAGCTGGTGCTGGCATTTGGGCTTGAATTATGCTGTGCTGATAGACGTGAGTATAAATTTGGTGATCTTCAATCAGAGATGGCAAATATGAATACATTTGTAAGAGAAGTTCATTTGGTTACTACTATTATATAATTTGCAAGTAGCATGCCCATATACGAAATTCTTTCAGGAACGCTGGATAGTTGGAACTCATGGTAAACAGTCTATGCTTTGTGGATTAGATGTAAAAGAATATGACTCATGACATGAATTTGTAATATGGTAATAACATGCTGTTACAAATTCAAAAAAAATTCAGGTCTTCTCCATGGCACAGTTCTTTTGAGCTGTCTAAACTAATATAAAGATGTACTGCTAAGTGGGATTGTTGATTTCTCCAAGATTTACACTATGTTACTATTTTAGTATATGATCAGTAAGTTAGAAAATGGATGCTATTTGGCAGGGATGTTTCAAATTTTTGATTGTGTGATTATTTTCCATGTACGGACCACTTTTGGGATGCTGGCCCTGAGACCTGAGATGATTTGGTTACTTGCTGGCTTGCTGTTACCCTCTATACCTCGAAATTGCATTTACGCTTTTCTTGACTAATAATTAGATTTGATTTGAAGAGTCATTGAAGAATCTTGGGTTTTCGAATGTCTTCTCCATGGCACTCTTTCTTCTGAGGTATCTAAAGGAAAATATTAAAGCTATCGCAGCGGTTAATCGCCTTGTTGCTTGTCGTAATAACATTTCTCGCTCGCTACTAATTTGGCTTACAAGATTTCTTTTTGTCATGTAGATCCAGTCATCCAGTGTCCCTGAGAAAATGGATGCTCTTTGGGAGGAATGTACTGAAGTGCAAGTAAATTTTGATATGTTTGGCGTAAATCTAGTCTAATAATAGACACGTTTTGGGAGTGCATGTCCCTAAGACCTTCATCCTAAATTATAAGACATTTGACTTGCTCAAGTTTGACCCTCTCTTATTCAAAAAAATTATATAAATATAGTCAAATTTAAGTCATTCTTGAAGATTTTATTAATAACCAAAGATTTGATTTAAGTGATATTTTCATTTTTGAAGAATCGAGTGGGTATCAAAAAAGTCAAACGTCTTACAATTTGGGATGGATTGAGTAGTTTTATGCAAGGCAAATATTAAGGTTCCAAACTTCAAAAGGTCACGCGGTGTGAAAAAATATTTCTCTATTCCTACGAT